ACAATGCACCAGCTCACACAGCACTGTCTGTGAGGGATTTTTTAGCCAGTAAGCAAATAACTGTATTGGAACACCCTCCCTACTCGCCTGATCTGGCCCCAATGACTTTTTTTGTTACCCCAAAATAAGGGAAATATTGAAAGGAAGACATTTTGATGACATTCAGGACATCAGAGGTAATATGATGACAGTTCTGATGGCCATTCTAGAAAACGAGTTCCAAAAGTGCTTTGAAGGGTGAACAAGGCACTGGGGTTGATGCATAGCTTCCCAAGGAGAGTACTTCGAAGGTGACTGTAGTGATATTCAGCAATCGGGTATGGAGCACTTTTTCTAGGATCAGTTTGCGAACTTAATTGTCCAACCTTGTATATCTTTTTAACCAAAAAAATCTCCAGGAAAGTTCTCTAAGTGGTCCCTTGGGATTCGTCTGATTCCTACTAAGTTTCCTGCTTGTCATGGCCATTTTTAGCAGTGTGTCAGAGACTTCCAAGTGCATTTGAGCTGTTTCCGGTTTTAGAGTTCCTGCCCAAAAGGTCACACTTATCTTCACTCTCAGTGTTATGAACTCTGCTTCCTGAGACCTGTGGATATAGGCTTACCCGTAAGCAGTGTTCTCTGTCTTGTCAATGTAGAGGAAGTAGCTAATGAGGACACTTTCTCAGTAGTACTGAATTCAATCTAATGAAAACAATGATTTAATGAACATTTACTTTTCTCCATGTACTTTGTTATAAGGAGCTCTCTGAGTAGTGTGAGAGGCAGACCATTAAATGAATAATTTTAACGTAACAGAATAAATGAATCCAAGGATAGTAGTAGTCCAAAGGCAAGAGTGTGCTTACTGTGTCTCTGGAAAATGACACAAGCTGGACGTTGGAAATAAATAAAACTCAGCTCAGCCAACATAAAGGCAGAAAGATTCCCAGGGACAAGGAACAACATTATACAAAGTCTTGGCAATGTGAACAAGGAATGCTGTCACCATTTTACTTATCAGTTCTCCAGTTTTAAACATTAAAGATAGAATAATTGTTATTATTTTTTAAATATTTTCTTATTTGGTTTCTAAAGCAATGCATTTTTTTTTCAAATCTTACGGAAATGTACGACCTAGAGAGTTAGTCCTCCATAATCCCAACTTCCAGAGAGATGCTATTGTCTGACTAGACACGGATGTGTCTAGATCTTTTTTTCTTATATGCATACCGAACTGGAATCTTACTTATTCTTTTGCAACCTGTTTTTAAGTCAGTTCATATATAACTAAATGTTTTATACTCTGTCTTCATTTTTTGGATGTTTTGTATCCCGTTGTCAGGGTTGAGTGGCCGTATATCAAAGTAATTATACATGGAATCATTGAAGGCAGGTGGATCCCAGCTATGCCACTACTAACCATGTGACTTTGGGTAAATCATTTAACTACCCTGTGCCTCAGCTTCCCTATGTGTATTATAAGGATCAAAATAATACATATCTACCTCAAATGATTGCTATAATGACTACATAAATTACTATTTGTAAAGCACTTAGAATAGCACCTGGCAGATGGTAAATCTTCTAACTGTGAGCCTGTATTACCTCAAGGTATTTAACCAGATCCTTATCGACAGATGTTTGTGCTGTTTCTAATTTTTTGCATTCTTTTGTCACTCAAGAAATTTCCAAGGCAAGTTTTGAATTGTCCTTAACCTCTATTACGTTTGAGCTCCTGTTTCTTACCAGCTTACCGATACTCAACATCTGCTTATAAGCACTTAACAAAGATGTATTCTAGTGGTTGACTCTCTTGGAGGTTGCCCAAAATAAGGCAGGTTGGGTGCAGTGGAGTGGCTACCAGCCCAGACCCCAAGAAGTCCATTGCAGGTTTTCTATCTGCTGAGAGCCCATGCCAGGAAGGCGAATGCTCTAGAGCATAGACTGGGACAGGAAGCAGGAAGATTGGAATCTGAGAAGTCAAACAGTAACTCAGGCTGGAGGCCAGAGAGAGAAGCCAGAGAATGAGTACAGATCAGAAACATATGGCCAGAGACAAACCTGAGGACAGAGAGCTCAAAAGGATGCTTTAGGCACCAATACTTTTTTAGAAAGTAAGTATAGTATACCTCCTTTGAGATGCTTCACTATGTATAGTTCTCATCAACCTATAACTACAATAAGGTGATGTGAATATTAATTCCAAACAACAAGGTTCTTCTCTCTCTTGCTCCTATGGGAACTCAGCTGCCTCCTCCCAGGCTCCCTAGGCCATTTCTGGCAGTCAGGGACTTCAGTGTGTTCTCACATGAGCAAGGGCAAATTTGCTCAAGTTGGCCTGCTCTGGCCTGCTTGCCAAGGTGCCCTTGCCAGCCACAGCCTCAGGTGTTAGGGACACCTTAGAAAACCTGCTGGGCTACTTCCTCCTCCCCTGCCGTCACCCCAGGGGAGGTGTGCTTTGCTCTGTTCTTAGGCAGAGTATGTGTAGGGTGGGATGTAGGGTCAGAGGGGAGAATGACCCTATCTCCAACTCTGTGCCTAGACTCTCTCCTGAATTTAACTCCTCTTATTTTTCTCCCTGACCTAAATCTCGCTAAAGTTCCAACCATGTCCCCTGAGGCTGAATTAGGGAAAGGATGACATATATCAGCCACCCCCTCCAGTGTTCTTTTTTCCCCCTTTATCTCTCTAGTCACTCAACAACAAATATTGCCTGAGCATTGTAGTGGATTAAATGTAAAACTGATCCCAATCCTCTGCACCATTCTGTATCTATGCTCTTTGCAATGAGACATTTAGCTCCTCCCATTAAGGAGTAGAATCTCTCCCACCCACTAGAATCTGGGCTGGCTTGTGACTGATGGGCTGTGGTCTGAAGGTGGCTGAAGTGATGGTGTGTCAGTTCTAAGCCTGAGTCGCACTCACTCTCTGGGCTCCTCTGCCATCCCCTGAGAACAGCCTGGCTTAGACTGTTGGCTGATGAAAAATTGCTTCAACCCATAGTCAGCCACCTGCCCAACACAGCCCAGAACTGCTTCCCAGCCAAGATCAGCAGGGCTGTATAGATCCTCCTTTCACATAAGTGAGGCCAGAAAGACCAGAACTACCCAGCTAAACCACAGACTTGCAAATTAAATAAAGCCTGTGTCATTTGAAGCCACAGGGTTTTCTGTTTATTACAGAGCACTATTGTGACAAGAGATCGCTGCTACAACCCCACTTCTGACCTCCAAAATCAAAGGTTTTTTTTTTTGCAGATTCAAGCACCCTTCTAAGAAGTTCAACAAATGGCCAAACTCTAATCTCAGTCTAGATTGAGCCAGGACCCCTGGCTGCCCTTACAACAGCCTGTGAGATGGAGATATTTTTGTTAAGCAGATGTCCAAGAGACCTGAGGGAAAGTTAGTCAGCCTGCTGGGGAGACATGCATAAGGAATAAGTGTACAGGAATGTCCTACCAATATTCACTAGGGCCACGAAGACCACAGTAAGCTTGGTGCGGTGGCATTTCTTGTGGAACCTGGAAAGGGAGGCCAACCTCTCCCTTTTGAGCTGGGTTGGGACTGAACTGAGACCAAGTGTAGCAGGAATCAGTGGGAAGACACTGAGATGCCCCAGGCCCTGGAACCGAGGCCCTCCGCCGTGCAGATGTACAGCCTCTGAGGACAGGGAAGCCCTCCAAGGGGAATCTGAGTGACATGTGTTTAACCTCAGTTTATAACCTGTCTCTACACATCTTTCAGTATGCTGGGTTGGCTTGTTAAATTGTAGCTCCTCGATAGCTACTGCTTAGTGTTGTAACTTCCAGTGATAAAGTTCCTTTGGAGGAGCTAAGGGGAGCACATTATTAAGTGTGTGAATGGTGGTCCCTAACTAGGGCCGCCCTCCTCTCTACTCTGGTTGAGGGGCAAGTTCTTTTCTCTCATTGTACCCCTTCCCTCGTTCATTATTTCTAAGGACTTTGAATGGAGCCTGCACACCCAGGGCAAATGAATGGAGCCTGCCCACCGAGGCAAGCTCTGAAGTTTCCCACTGGGCTCTGCTGATGGAGCTCCTTTTGGCCTGGGGGCCTGCCAGTCACAGCAAAGCTGCCATGCCCAGCAAATGGCTGTCACCAGACAACAGGCCAGTAGATGGAAATTTAAGCATTAATAACCGGGACCACAGGTGCAGAGAAAGCAATAAAAAAATAAGCTGCTGATGGCTGATTTCCAGTTCTGTTTATCCTCTTGAGTGGTTAAAAAAAAAAATGCATGAGGATGAATACAGAAAAACCCTTCTTAATTTGATAGCTTAGCCTCTTGGCCCTGTTGGGCTGGGAGTGAAAGTTGGGTTGAGTTAGCTCCCACCCCCAAAGGTGGTTAATGTATGCCCTGCTCCCTGATAGCCTTTTTCTAGACATTTTCCACTACAGTCATAGTTATATAAGTGTGATCCTAATTGTTTGGTACCTGGCTCTAGGGTGATTTAGGGCAGTGGGAATATTGACTTGGTGTGTGAGCTTTAGATAAGGGGGGAGGTGGGAGGGGGTCTGGGCTCTGGGATTGGTTGGTTTTCATATAAAAAAAATGTGCTCACAAGTAAATGGTTTGCTGCCTCTAGGAACTAGTTGACCCTAGGATGGGCGGTCCCTCCCACATCCAAAAGGCCTCAATGTGTCAAAGCATCATACAATACAAAAAATAAATATATAAAACAAAACAAACAAGAAAAAAACATGATTAATACAAAGACCTGAAAGAACATATATCCTTTCCATATCAGCCTTGAGAGAACCCAAATTATTGGGGACACTTTATAGTTTCTGAGCTTTTTCTCAAGGCCGGGCAGTTTTCTGCCTTCTAAGTATTGACAGAAGCTATTCTCACCATCTCACACCAGCTCTCTTGACCCAGAGCAGTTCTTTGCTTTTTCAGGAAATAAACGGGATGAAAGTTCAGGGCTGGGACTTCCTCCTCAGGGTATTTGACAAGGACTGACGTATTCTAAGCCCTTTAAATCCAGGAAATCCAGGACACACCCAACCTTGATAACAGTGTGCTGAGAGCTGAGTGCTGAGTGCTGGAGCATAGGTGAGAGGACAGAAGCAAAATCCTTTCAGCATGAGAGACCCACTCACAAACTGTTCCGTGAGTAGCTTGGTGTGGTTTGTGTCTCTGTATGTGAGAAGGTGGCTGGGGGGTAGATTTATATATTAATGTATTTTAACTTAAGAAATTTGAGATGCTCAGAAACCAAACATGCTTAGATATTGGCTGTGAGACAAAAGTCTGTGTTTTTTCTTTGGTTCAGTTTAAAACAGAACCCTTTCTAGCAAATGATGACTGGTCATTGTCATCTTTTATTCTCAAATTCTTAGAAAAACTTTGAGTGGGTATATCATCATATTTGCATGCAGATGGTGGTTGTTTGGAAAAAAATCTTAAGACATACTCTAATGGTGCCGACATCATGCATAGAGTAGATATATAAACACAGAATGTCTGCAGCCAATTTTGGGCACCGATAATGAAGTTAGAATGGAAGGTTTTTGCGTCTTTTCCCATATCATTCAGAGGTAAGAATTGTTAAGTCCTTCAGGAGGACAGACTCCCCATGCGGTCTGGCCTGTGGTGGTTCTCAGACAGCTTTACCAACTTGTTTCTTTCAGTCCTGGGAGCGTTACCAAAAATAGAAAATGGGTCAAGTCCAAAGACTTGTGAGAGTCTTAGTAGCAATAGAAGCGATGTAATTTAGGAAATTAGGAGCAATTAAAATAAAAGGGAGAGAGACATATTTACTTTGGAAAGAAAATAATTGAAGATTATCAGTGTGTTATCTTAATAAATGGTGCCAAGAAGCTAAAATTGGTGATAGCAGAAGCAAGGATCTTTCAAGTATTTAATAAAAAAAACAAAAACAAAAAAACAAAACTGAGGACTGCAGCAAAGCCATAAAGAAAAAGTTCAATGGACGCAGAAAACACAGGCTTAGAGAAAATAGACCTATAACTGCTATTCTACAAACTGAGTTCATGAGTCAGATGAGCTAAATGAGGTGAAGTCATAATGGCTAGTAATATTAACAATGACAACATCATAGCAGACTTTACCTACTTTTACTTTTTAAATACAAAAAAAATTAAAAGTATCTAATGGAAAAAAAATAAATCCAACAATATGGTTGCATATAGATTTTTAAGAAAGAGACTCACCCCCACTTTAATTTCCTCCTCTTCTCTCCTTTGGCAACCACAGATCACTTTTTTTTTTTTTTTACACAGATCACTTTAAAAAAAAAAGTCTTTATCTCCTATTTATTTGCTGTTCATTTTTTTTCACTCCTTGCATTTGGTCCCTTCTAACATGCGAACTCCTTTTCTTTCTCACCATTGATACTTGGATCATGTTTTTGCACAGGTGTGGTTGAATGGGATAGAGACAGGAGAAGTGGAGGCAAAAAGTTGGCACCAACAGTCACTAAAGAAGAAAGTCAAGACCAAGGCAAGAGTGAGATAGAAGAGAGGAAAATTTAGGCTCAATTAAGTTTTTAAAACAATGATCAGATAGCACAGTATCCTTTTCCAAAGCTGCCTTCAAATGAGGAACTGGGAGAAATGTTTCCTTTTGAGCAGCCCCAAGATAACCTGTTACCCTATCTCTGTGTCACTTTAATGCTCCCTCCCTGACATGCAGAACAGTTCTTTTCCCTATGTTAACCATTGCCCCAAGGACTCCTACCCTCATCCACAACCTTAAAGGTCATCTCTATGGGCCCAGAGCCACCAAAGCTAGCCTGGGAGTCAAGAGGAGGCGGATATCCCGTCAGTCAGGGTTTCTACGTCCTCTAAAGTCACAGAATCTTTATTTATTTGCAATTGTTTCATCTTCATCAAGTGTTCCACATGATTTCCTGGTGCAGTCCTCGCTTGTGCTTGGGGAACATGCTATGTGGAGATGAGGCTGCACTTTGGGAACAAAATAAAACAAGGAAATGGGTAGCAAACGAATGCTTCATGAAATACTATTATTGTAGTTTTATAAAAAACAACAACAAAGCTTTAACCACCTGCAAAATGTCTCATTCCATGAGTCCTAGGGTTGCACAGAACACAACTAATTCATAAAGCCTTAGCTTAGCCGCAGTCCTTAATCTAGTCTATCCTACGGATCCATGTGTGAAAATCAGTGGGTTGCATGAATTTCAATGAGAAAAACATGACCTCTTTATTTGTCCTAGTTTCTCACTGAAATTTAGAATTTCTTTCCATTTTAAATATAAGCAACAACCCAGTACCAACCACTCTAGTATCTGTGACTTGATAACCAATAAAAATTACATGTATTTTTATAATAACATTAACATTATTTGCAGATATCTAGAAATATAGTTCATACTTAACATGACTTAGAAATTTGGTTACTTCTTAAGACTTGTTATTTTGTGTGTTAATTAAAAACACACATAATATTATGATTTTAAAATGTTTTTATAAATATATATCAGTATTATTAGTTTCCTTTATAATTCTGTTATTTTATACATTTGAAAATATTTTGAATAAAAGCAGTTTCACCAGAGTGCCAAAGGGGCCCATGATACAAAAAAAATAAAAAAATCTCTTCTTCTGGTCATGCTCCAATGGGCAACAGAGGCTTAGAGTTGGGCCAGTCAAGCTCAAAAAACCAGGTCAGTGTCTGATCAAATTATTAGTCACCAGGGTAGCCAAAGATTGCCTAAATGCTGTGTAGGGCTTTTAACTAATCTTGAGAGTATCAGAACTGGTTCGAAGGAGATTTGTTAAAGTTCTGTTTTTGAAAAGGAAAAGAATGGGTGCTAAGCCTTGATATCTTAATGCCTGTGAGTTAAGCCTCTAAATTGAAAAAGAGTGCCAAATCCATGTGCAAGGAAACAGACAGGATCAAATTATCTCCAAATGAAATAATCTAATCACTTGAAAAAGTAGCATCTTTCTAGGAAACAATGGCATAGAATCGAGGGCAAATAATAAGCTGTAACCAAGTTTTTGCTTTTACTCACTCCTACAGTATGCACATAGGGACCCGTTAAAGCACGCCTTCTGGGGCCCATACAGTCAACCGTTTCCCTTAACTTCATCAGCTGGTGAAATAGGACCAGGCTGTGAGGCTGCTCCTCCAACCTGGTTCAGAGGCCAACCTGAGCTGCCCATCTTGTTGGCTCAGCGTAAGTCACACGAAGCACTGATACAAAAGATGCTGGTCCAATGGTCCATGGCTCCTGAGGGATCCTGCTACACTGCAGAGATAAGGAGGCAGGTTGGGTCTGGCATGGATGCCCTGTGGCCCACTGCATCCCCAGCGTGCATCCGTGAGATGTGTGACATGCCGTTCCGCATTTCCTGGGCCTCTGTTTCTTTGTTTATAAAGTAAAGGAGAGGAGGATCAAGTAGACTGTGTTCTTTAATGTTCTGTATCTCATAATCTATGACAGCCTGTCATGGAGATTCCAAACATTATACAGATGCCTAATAAGCACAAGAAATCCCTTAGTTAGAGGAGCAATGCTTTGAAATATTATCCCACATGAAATCAGCAGCACAGTGCCTGACATGTGAAAGACATCCAGCAAACGCTTATATAATTAAAGTGGAATATCATAGGTTTTTTTTAACACTATGAGGATCATCATTATAAAAAAAAAAAAAAAACCTTCTCATACTCACACCGAGAATACAAATAGATTTTCCTAGAATAGTTGAATTTAGTCATTCAAATCATGGAAAATCGGAAAGAACAGCTAGGCCAAGGTTCATACAGTGCATTTTATATTTTTTACAAGTCATCTGTCTGATCATTTCATGTGCCAGTTGCCTAGATTACTAAGTGGTTTTGGTTTTCTTTTGTTTTGCTTTTTTATAACAACAATATTTTTACAACAGAATTTGCTTACAAGCACTAGGCAGAAACATTTTCCTGATGACTGAAGGAAACATCTGTGGATACCAGTTGTCTATGTGAAGGAATTTTTAGGGGTTCAGAAAGATTTCAAATATTCTACCACCAGCCTGACATCCCTTTATCAGGGGGAAAAAAATCCATAATGTTTTATTTGTTGTTGTTTGTTTGTTTGTTAAAGATTTTCTTGGGGAATTGGGGGAGGGGAACAGTGTTGGGGAATTGGGGAAGGGGACCAGGCAAGTTGTTGTCCTTCAGTCTTAGTTGTGGAGGGCGCAGCTGGCTCAGCTCCAAGTCCAGTCACCATCTGGCCGCCCCGTCGGCAGCTCCCGGCTGCTCAGCTCAAGGTGTCGTTGGGTGGGGTGGGGGAGGGCGGCGGGGGGAGTGGGGAGATACAGCCTCCTATGTGGGAGTCGAACTGGCAACCTTATTGTTAAGAGCACATGCTCTAATCACTGAGCCATTCACCACCTGTTGGCAGCTCAGCGGCAGCTCACTGGCCCATGTGGGAATCAAACCGGCGACTCTGTTGCTTAGAGCTCACGCTCTTAACCAATTGAGCCACTCACCCGGCCCCACAATGTTTATTTCCCAGTAATTAATGGGAGAAGCAACATGCTAATATAAATAATTCATATGGAGATGTAAGATCAATAGTAAGTTCTTTCCTGGAATGAATATTTGGTAGAGGGGGAGGAATTCTGAAGCTCAGTGGTAGGAAAAGAATACCCACATTTTACCTTCCACATGGCTTTGACCAGAGCACACCCTTTTTGTGCTGTTAATGGCCTTTGAAAGCCATCTTTACTGCTCTTAACAATTAACAGCTAACTATCACTCTGAGTAAACTTGCTTTAATTATACTGATTTGCCATTTATAATATATTTATTTCTGATGGATTCTCTAATTTATTTGATCACCTAACATTTATAATCACAGTTCTGTCCCTAACTAATGAGGTTCTCTGCAGCAATTTGGGCCTCAATTGTGAAATAAGGGGATTGGACTTGAGTGCTCCATGGAATCACTCCGGGGCCTCTCCGGCCTAGAGAGTGAGGTGGGAAGGGAGGCAGGCTAGGAGAGGGAGGGTCAAAGCCAAGGTCAAGAGATTTTGTCCCCTCAAAGCAAATATCCTCCAAGGTTCTCTGATTACACACACACACACACACACACACACACACACACGCTGCTGGACAAGATGGTCTCTGGGTTCTGCTTTGATATTTATGGAAGTCTGCTTTTCACAGCTTTTGTCTTCAAGTCTGAGTAGATGGTACATGATGAAAGGTACGGAATCATTGTTTCCAAAGAAGGGGTTATGCTGAAATAATGGAGGCATTCTTTGCAACGCCTTTATTTATCCATGCCACCTTTATCTGAGTGTGGATCAGGGTTTGTCAGGGGGTTTCTACTAAAGATTTCTCTCCATGGCTATCATAAGCAGAACCACTAAATTAACAATGTGATATATTGAAGAGCTTACTGACCTGTATGTGCCTGAGCCCACTGGAGTTTGGGGAATGGGTTACAGGTGTATCTAAGACACAGCACCCCTCAGCCCTCACATTGGCAGGGTGTGGCTGGGAGACAGAGCTCGTGGGTCAGTCCCCTCTGTTTGGAACCATTTTGTCCATTTATCACACTGTCCCAGGACAAATATTTTGTAGGTGTGCCATGACGTGAAAAAAGATAGGAAGAACTAGTCTATTAAATAACAGGAAATCATCTTCCAAAATCTAAAACTGGCAGCTTCAGGGTCAACTGAAGCCATAAGATGCGTTTCATTTGAGCAACCTCTTTTTTAAAAACCTTGACTGTGAGCACCTTCGGGAAACACAGACACTCTCCCCTTTGCCACAGGCTCTCCCACTCCCCTCTAAAGACAACTGAGTTTTAAGTCACTGGCTTATACACTTGCAGGGCTGTCTGGCCTCCTAGAACTAGTCCTTTAGAGATAGTATTTTAAAATGTGTCTTGAAGAGTTTTGATGGCTTGATAAGTTTGGGAAATGCAGCAGCTCCTGCAGCCCAGCACGTAGAAAAATTCTCAGCTGGTTCTGTTCATTTCCGCTTTGGGTAGAAACAAGGTTGCCTCTGCTGGCCCCCATCCTCACACGTGGTGTCTGAGGCCTCCTATTCTGGCCCCAGGACTGTAGGATACAGACTGTCTCAGGTGATGGTTGGCTGGTGGGAGCCGTCCCCTAGGAGAGTTCATCTCAGAGTCCCTTCCCTCTCTCTTAGTTCTCCCTTAGTTCTTCGGATGGGAGGTTTTTCTCCTTTGAATGCTCCTAATCCCTCGAAGTCCATCTCTGCTTTGTCTTCCATCCCCAGCCCTAGCCCCAGCCTTACAGTGTTGGAGAGCAGAAAAACCTCACTCTGCAAGCACATGTCCACATCCTTCTCTCTTGCACATGGCCCCTGTGGTATTTTGGGGGTCTTTATTTCTGCTTTGCTGTGGGTTGGAGAGAGAAGCAGATAGGACATTACATAAAAAATACCCAGCTTAATACTGTGACACATTTCTAAATAAATCAAATAAGAAAGCTACAGGACATATAAAGAAATCATAAAATTTAATTAAACATAAAATAAGATTTGAACAAAAGAAAAGGCTTACTATGTCCTTGGATGGAAAGTCCAAATACCATTAAAAAGCCAATTTTCCCTGAATGATATATATATATATATATATATATATATATATATATATATATGCGCAATGTAATTCCAATTAGAATTCCAACAGGAATTTTTTTTAAAACTTATAACTAGATATGTTCATATGGAAGAATAAATGTCCAAGTATAGCCAAAGAAATTATGAAAAGGAAAAAATAATTGTCTAAGGAGAGAGCAGAAGCAAAAGTTTAATATCTCTATAACATAGGTAGTGAGTACATAATGTGTATCATTATTTTCTGTATCATTTTATGAAATATAAAAATGTTTCATAATTTAGAATAAAAACTTAAAAGCCTGTGTATGACTTAGAACTATATTAGGCTGCATATTTTAAAAACCTAAAATGAGTGGTTAAAAACAAAAACAAAAAAAAACCACTCCATTGTATTTCTCTCACATAAGTCCAAAAGTGGAGTTGAGGGCTTGTGTTGTGGCCCCCAGGACCATCAGGGACCCAGGTTCTTTTTCTCTTTCTGCTCTATGATCTTAGCTCACGGTGTCCACCATCAAGACCACCTTCTGGCATCAGCCATTATTTCTAAGTCCAGGTGTCAGGAAAGAGGAGGCAGAAACCCTCACCGAAACCCCACAGAAAACTTTCGCCCATGCCTGCTTGGGAAGTATTAGTCACATGGTCATGCGTCAGGGTGAGAGAGGCTAGGAAATAGCTTTATTCCAGGGGCATGTGCGCTGCTAAACATTTATCTATTTCCCTCTCATGATACTTAGGTGTGTTTTGTGGGATAGTATTTGGTGTTATGGGAAGAAAATAAAAGGCTTGGGGGAATTTAGTAAAAATGTTTAGTTAACAGAGGCATAAACAAAAATGCCAAATAATTTTAAGATTGTTTCCTATTGTACCTGTAAGGGAAGAAACGGAGCCTTATTGTAGCATATCATTCATAGATGACAAGTCATTTTCATGGAAATAAAAATGAGGGCCAGCCGAGTGGCTCAGTTGGTTAAGAGCTCGCTCAAGAGTGCGAGCTCTTCAGCAACAGCGGTTCGAGTCCCAGCCCGAGCTGAGCTGCCGCTGATCTGCCAACAGGTGGCAGGATGGCTCAGCTGAAATAAATAAATAAATTAATTAATTAATTAATTAATTAATTAAATTAAAAATGAGAAATCCTGGCTGCCAAATACTGATTTTGTCATCATGACTCTCAGGCTACATCTGAACAGTAGCACAGGGGTGTCTTATTTACTCTGCAGAGAGTTTTGAAATTTGTGAATTGTTTGCTGTAATTTTTTTAAAAATCACATTTTCGATGCCAATCCTTACTTCAGCTTTGTTGAACAAACCAGAAGATCTGGCCATCCCGGGCCAGACTCCATGGTGCAGAGCAGCTGTGGCAGCTGCCTCTCCCTCACTGCTTGCATCCTGTTCCTGGCTCACTCAGGAGTCTTCTGTTAGGAGTCAGCAATGCCCTGATAGGCGTTAGCAATGCCCTGACCACTGTCCTTGTATCCCAAGCAGTTTCGATGAAGCTGTTTGCTACTACTGTGTGCCTAGCTCACCCTGCCATGGTTTTCTGTGTTAAACTGTAGGTGCCTTCCTCCTCTGTGGCCCTATGTCCTCTGTTTGCTACTCTGTTAGCACCATATACCAGGTGCGACTGTGCCAACTGAACAGTTGAGATGGCCCTGAGGACTCATGTATATGAACGTGCCTGTTGCATAATAGGCACTGAGTAAATGCGAGTTTCCTTTCTTTTCCCGTCTCAACATGGTGCCCAGCTGCCTGCTGGAGACGACTGAGTGCTGGCAGGGGCTGGCTCATTGGATGAGCAGAGTCACAGTACGGCACTCAACCTCTGCAACATTTCCATCTTCTTGTATAAAATCTCATTTGAAAAATGCAATTGGCTATTGTATTTTCCAGATGGAAGCTATGAGAGAATGTATTTGAGACTGTTTCATGGCCTAATCTACCTATTCTGTGTCAGGAAAGAGATAGAATCAGCTTACATTCACCCTCTCCATTTGGGCACTTAAAACCGATTGCCATCAATGTCTACCTTTACAAATAAAATTTCCAGAATGACATTGTGGAGTTCTAAATCAAATGACAAAACTTTCTCTTGGAATTCTGGCATCTGCAGGCTAAATTTAAAGTTTTATTTATAAATTTGTAAAGGTTTGGTTCAATCAAAATGTTCAGCTCATTATAACATTCTTATTTCTAGAGTTAAATGAGATATAGAGGGGATCAGGAAAAATTTTATTAACAAGTTATTCAGTTACATTTTTATTATCTCAGCCAAGGAACACTCACTTTCATGGTTCACGGGTTGTCACAAGGCCTAGGAATACTATTTTGGAATTTGTGGGGGAGACACAAAATGATTGATTACTCAGTGCATTTCAGAACGTACTCTTAACCTTCCTGGGAACAACAGGAGTGACAGGAAGCCAGACACCTGGTGCATACCACTAATGAATTGTTTGCATTTAGCCTAGGGGAGAAACAGATAGACAAGCTTTATTTTTGTAAAGTTCTCCAGGATCTTTCATATCCAGGCAGAAGAGACTGAATCTTTCTTTTAAGAACTCATCCAAAAGATGTACGTCCCACAGCTGCACTATCATTTACAATGACGTCATTATGACATCAGTACTCTGAATTTACGACAGCTCTATCTTTGGAAGCTTTCATAATCCTTCTGTGCATCTTTTCTTTTGCAGTATAATCAAGTGTACAAGAACCTAAAGGAGTTTTCTCAAAACGGAGAGAATTTCTGCAAGCAGGTCACATCTATTCTTCAGCAAAGGTACAAAATGTGCATTTGCAATAAGCAGTTCTTCCTCTTTAGTTGCAGCCAGTGATATGACTGGAGAAGTGATTACAAGCTGTCCTACTTTCCAGAATGCAGTGTTATATTTTGGTACTTGAGAGATTGGTTTGAAGAGTGATTCTTCTCTCTTGCACATTTATCACTTGGGTACCATAAAAATCAGGGAACAGCAGGAAGTCATTCTGCTTGGGAAGGTTTAGTCAAAGTCTCTTCTGATTCTTCAGACCAAGTTTATCACCCCCTCCTGGGGCCCATCGTTTTACCTGATGTGTACACCGTTGTTGTACTTCTCACACTGATGGTAATTATTAGTGATGTATCTGCATCCCCTACGAGAGAGGGGGCTGTGTCTTACGCACCTTTGCATGCTAAGTTCTTGGAGCCTGGCCTTTTGATTTCTACAGTAAATATCTGATGAATGATTGGATGGATGAAAGAAAAGGCACCATTTTCAGTATCACCTTCTCTCTTTTTTTTAAAGATTTTTATTGCGGAATTGGGGGGATGGGAACAGTGCTGGGGAATTGGGGGAAGGGAAACAGACAAATTGCTGTCGTTTTTTTGTTCTTCAATCTAGTTGTGGAGGACGTTGCTTCACTGGCCCAAGTTGGCACCATCATTGCGCTCTTCCCGGGCGAGGCAGATCAGTCG